AGAATTCTCAAAAAACATTCGCTCCAAGGTGCAGAGAACGGGCACGGGGGAAAGTGAAAGGGGAGGTCAATGTTTTTTTTAGAATTCTCAAAAAACATTCGCTCCAAGGTGCAGAGAACGGGCACGGGGGAAAGTGAAAGGGGAGGTCAATGTTTTTTTAGAATTCTCAAAAAACATTCGCTCCAAGGTGCAGAGAACGGGCACGGGGGAAAGTGAAAGGGGAGGTCAATGTTTTTTTAGAATTCTCAAAAAACATTCGCTCCAAGGTGCAGAGAACGGGCACGGGGGAAAGTGAAAGGGGAGGTCAATGTTTTTTTAGAATTCTCAAAAAACATTCGCTCCAAGGTGCAGAGAACGGGCACGGGGGAAAGTGAAAGGGGAGGTCAATGTTTTTTTAGAATTCTCAAAAACATTCGCTCCAAGGTGCAGAGAACGGGCACGGGGGAAAGTGAAAGGGAGGTCAATGTTTTTTTAGAATTCTAAAAAAACATTCGCTCCAAGGTGCAGAGAACGGGCACGGGGGAAAGTGAAAGGGGAGGTCAATGTTTTTTTAGAATTCTAAAAAAACATTCGCTCCAAGGTGCAGAGAACGGGCACGGGGGAAAGTGAAAGGGGAGGTCAATGTTTTTTTAGAATTCTCAAAAAACATTCGCTCCAAGGTGCAGAGAACGGGCACGGGGGAAAGTGAAAGGGGAGGTCAATGTTTTTTTAGAATTCTAAAATAACATTCGCTCCAAGGTGCAGAGAACGGGCACGGGGGAAAGTGAAAGGGGAGGTCAATGTTTTTTTAGAATTCTCAAAAAACATTCGCTCCAAGGTGCAGAGAACGGGCACGGGGGAAAGTGAAAGGGGAGGTCAATGTTTTTTTAGAATTCTCAACAAACATTCGCTCCAAGGTGCAGAGAACGGGCACGGGGGAAAGTGAAAGGGAAGGTCAGCGAGAACCGCTGCACGGCGAACGGCGTGACTGCAATGAAGATGACGTCACTCCTGGAAAGAGACCTGGGCGTTGGGATGAGGGGTGGTGAGGGATGGTGAGGGGTGGTGAGGGATGGTGAGGGGTGGTGAGGGTGAAGGTGGGTGTGGGGGGTAAGGAGGGAAGGTAAAAATGGGGCACGGAGAACGGCTTCACTGCAACGAAGATGAGGCCGCTACTGGCCGGGCCGCCACCTGGTGGTGGTGGTGAGGGGGGTGGTGTGGGGGATGGGACGGAATTCCCGAGAGGCAGAGAACGGGCAGGTGGGGAAGTTATATCGTGTGAAGGGTCAGCAGGCACGGGCTGCATGGCAAACGACTTGACTGCAATGAAGATGACGTCACTGCTGGCCGCCACCTTGAACGAGAGGTGGGGTGGGGTGGGGTGGGGGTGAGGGAGGGAAGTCCCAACCCAAGGGGCAGGGATCGGGCAAGGGGGAAGTGAATGGGGTGAAGGGCCAGTTTTGAGACATCTCAAAACTCGCGTGAAGGGCTAGTTTTGAGACATCTCAAAACTCGCGTGAAGGGCTAGTTTTGAGACATCTCAAAACTCGCGTGAAGGGCCAGTTTTGAGACATGTCAAAACTTGCGTGAAGGGCCAATTTTGAGACATGTCAAAACTTGCGTGAAGGGCCAGTTTTGAGACATGTCAAAACTCGCGTGAAGGGCCAGTTTTGAGACATGTCAAAACTCGCGTGAAGGGCCAGTTTTGAGACATCTCAAAACTCGCGTGAAGGGCCAGTTTTGAGACATGTCAAAACTCGCGTGAAGGGCCAGTTTTGAGACATGTCAAAACTCGCGTGAAGGGCCAGTTTTGAGACATGTCAAAACTCGCGTGAAGGGCCAGTGAGCACGGGCTGCAAGGCGAATGGCTTGACTGCAATCAAGATGGCGCAACCTCCTTGGCTTGACTCGCTGTCACCCCGCTTCTCCTCCTCTGCCCCCCCCCCCCCATTTCCCCCCCCCCACTGCCCCCCCCCACTGCCCCCCCCCCCCCCCACTGCCCCCCCACCTCCTTGGCATTCTCCTTGGTGTGAATGCCTTGAACCAGCTCAACAGTATTCCCTAACTCCCCTTATCCTCATTCCCCCCCTCCCATTCCCCCCCTCCCATTCCCCCCCCCCATTCCCCCCCTCCCTTCCCCCCCTCCCATTCCCCCCCTCCCATTCCCCCCCTCCCATTCCCCCCCTCCCATTCCCCCCCTCCCATTCCCCCCCTCCCATTCCCCCCCTCCCATTCCCCCCCTCCCATTCCCCCCTCCCATTCCCCCCCTCCATTCCCCCCCTCCCATTCCCCCCTCCCATTCCCCCCCCCCCCTCCCATTTCCCCCCTCCCATTTCCCCCCTCCCATTCCCCCCTCCCATTCCCCCCCTCCCATTTCCCCCTCCCATTTCCCCCCTCCCATTTCCCCCCTCCCATTTCCCCCCTCCCATTTTTCTCCCCTCCCCTGCCTCCATCCCCCTTCTTCCTCTCCTCCCTCCCTCCCCTCACCTCCCTGGCGTTGTCCTTGGTGACGATGCCGATGCCTTGAAACACCGACTATCTCCCCTATTACCCATTCACCCGTCCCCACTTCCCATTCCCCCACTCCCTTCCCCCCCATCCGTTTCCTCTCACTCTAAAGCTCCCTTACCTCCCTGGCGTTGTCCTTGGTGTCGATGCCGATGCCTTGAAACACCGCCAGCCTGTCACTGTTAACGTCGACAGCTGCCATGTCAGCATATTCCACCACGCCTGCCGCGCTCAGCCCCCGCGCCAGCGCCTCCGCCATCTGCCCCGCCCCTGGAGTGGGGGGTTAGAGTGGGAGGCGGGGGGGGGGGGGGGGGGGGGGGGGGAGAGGGAGGGGGCCAGAGGGGGCGGAGGAGGAAAGGGCTTGTGACCATGCCATGCCTCTGAAGCTGCGCTCAGCCCCCGCGCCAGCGCCTCCGCCATCTGCCCCGCCCCTGGAAGTGGGGGGGAAGGGTTGGAGAAGGACGGGGGGGAGGGGGGAGGGGGGAGGGGGGACGGGGAGGGGGGAGGGGGGAGGGGGGAGGGGAGGGGAAGTCTTTGGAGCTGCTTCAAAAGCTGCCCTCAGCCCCCGCGCCAGCGCTTCCGCCATCTGTCCCGCTCCTGGTGTGGGATGGGGGTGAGAGGGGAGCGGTTGGGGAAGGGGGTTGGGATGTGGGCAGGAAGGGGCGGGGGAGGGGGGACACAGAGGAGGATTTGACGCAGGGGGGGCAAGGGGAAAAAAAGGAAGGCCTGAGGTAAAGGCACGCACAAGTTGAGAGGACGGAGTGGGGGGAGGGGAAGGGGGAATGGAAGAAAAATTCAGAGCATGGAGTGAATGGAGATGAGGGAAGCTTCAGAGCAGTTCAAAACACTGTATCGACTCAATTTTAATTAAATCCACTGAGCACGTTCATGCTGCTCACCTATGAATCCGAGCCGCTCTCTCTTCTCCGCGTTCCCCGGCTCAATCTCTGCCTGCTCCCGCGCTGCATTCTCGTCCGCGGAGCTGGCGCGCGCTACCGCCACGCCCGACGACCCCCTGCGCGGAAACGCGGAAGCGAGGCTCGGCGCGCTGATCGGTCCGAGAGATCGCCCCACCAGGGGGTTCCACGCTGGCGGGCGCGAAGTTTCCGCGAAATGGGGTGCTGCGCGCGCGGTAGGCTTGCCGTGGTTGAAAATGGTCGACAGGGACCGAGAATCGGTAAAATGGCTGTCCGAGCCGTGGCTACTGTAGGGCGCGCTTCGAGGAATCGCGAATGCGGAGCGGGAGAGCAGCCGCGCGAGGCGGGAGCAGTTAGCGGACATGGCGGCGGGAACTGCGACGACGATAGGGTGGATTTCAAGAATGCGGGCCGAGAGAATTACGGGAGGGTGACACATCAGCTCAGCTGCCTCAGCTTCAAGCGGAGGGAATCAGCTGTGCTGACCTGTGTCGAAGTGCCTCTTCGACGAAAGAGGTGAGGTAATGAAACCCACGTGGTACATGCTGACTGACCGAGATCCACCGATAAGAACCGAAGCAGGGGTGCGTGAATTGTGTAACTTGCGTGCAGTAGATTTCCTACCTCAGTTGGTTGTTCGCGAGTAATGGCCGTGTCTTTCAGCGCGTACAAGCGAACTCTGGAGAAAACACTGTTTTGTGCCTCTTATAATGTGACTTGTTGCACTCTATAATCATGTTGTTTTTTCTACGCTTTTCTTCCTGCTTGGTTCACGATAAACGAGAAGCTTCCACAAATCTGCTGCGACTGCGCAACCTGTCCCCGTGCTGGCGTCGCGTGGCGTGTCATGCAAGACCACCTCCTCCAATTTCCTGTCTCCCCCCATTCCCTGACCAGTTCTGTTCTGTTCCCCCAAATCCCGAACCAACCGCCAACACCACCGAATTCGTCGCGTCTCCTCCTGCCCCCGCGCCCACGCGCCAAGCTGACTGGCCCGCCCGCACCGATTCCCCGACATTGACTCACCCGCTGCGCCAAAATTCCAACCGACCAGCTTTTTTAGATACATCCAAACCGAGTGTTCATTTTCGTTCAATACCTTACCCAACCGTTCTAAATTGCTATTCAAAGCTTCTAAACGTGGAGATCGCACTGAACCGCATTCACAGGTAGTTTCGGGGGACCTTACCTTTCGGGCTCGCTTGTGCCGCGCCTCCAAGGCCACAGGTTTGGTCCGCAAGTCACGCACTCCCAGCAGCCAGCAGCACGCGACGCACGGCCCAGACCCGTCGATCGCAAGCGAAGCATTTAGTACGTCTACTGGCACAAACAGCTTCACCAAATCTTACTTCTAACAACTTACTCTGCGAACCACTTCGCATTCCAGGTCTCCGTGGTTATTCCAGCATAGATCGGTCGCATTATCTGCGGCCGTGGTTCTTCAGCGCTCTCAACACTCACTAAGTCGCGTCCGCATTTCCGATCTCAGCGACGTCGATCGACTCTCTCTCCTCTCACACGATGGCGCGCTTAGCTCTAGTCGTCGCCACGCTCCCGCTCGTCCTGCTCCTTCTCAGCTCGGCACAGCCCGCCAGAATGCTCGCCTCCGCGGAATCCCTGCACGAGACATCTGGTGCGTTCGTCTCTGGTGTAGATCCAACGTTGGAAAGAGAGCTCTCGTCGGCGGGACTCACGGGATTCGCGAGCTTGCTCAAGCACGCCGGACTCATTCCACAGCTCGAACTCCGCGCGCGATTTGGATCCGCGCTGACCGTGTTCGCGCCGACCAACGTCGCGCTCATGCGCGCGGACCCCGCGCTCCTCGCGTTTCTGAAGCTCCCGCGCAACGCTGCCCTGCTCCGCGACGTGCTCCTCTACCACGTGGTCGCGCGGCCCGTCTCCGCGTTCGCGTGGGACGGCTCGTACGAGACGCTCCAGGGCGCGCCGATCGCGCTCCACGTGGACGCGCTGGCGTTCCAGGTGGGCGGAACCAGCGTGAAGCAATACCGTGCGCTCACGCTCTCCTTGACTCCTCTCTCCCCCGACGAGCGCCTTTCTGGTAAAGGCGTGGATTCCGCCGCCGCGTCCGCGCAACTAAGTGCCGGGGACGCGGGGAGCAGCACGGTCGTGGTTCACACCGTCAACGCGCTCCTCCTGCCTCCCTCCGTCGACGATCTACTCTCGATGACCGCCGGTGATCTCTCTCTCGCCGCCGGGATGGGTGAAGGCGGACGGCAACTCGCCGAATCGTCGGGGTTCGCTAGCGCTTCAGCGTCTCCTCCCAGCGCATCGCCCCCCCCCCGGTGCTGCCGTCCCCTCCTCCGCCAACTCCTTCTTCCCCTCCGCCTCCTCCTCCACCTAAGAGCGGTGCGCATGCGCGGAGCTTATGGCAGCTGTTTTTTTCTGTCGCCTTGGCTGTCGTCGTCGTCATTGCGTTGTTCTGAGGGGGCATCTAGGCGAAATGTGGAGGCTCTGGTGAAATCTAATTAGGTTTTGAAATTTAGTTAGGCGTAACTTATACGACGACCTTATACTGTGCAGTGTACAACCTAAAAACTGAATTAGGTTTCCTTAACACTGTTCACCATCTGTTTCATATGAGTGGGAATTTCTGTTTCGAAGTTTGTACCAGCTGGACCTTATAACGGAGCCGAGATTTGTCAGGCACACCGTTCCTACGACCCTTGGCCACGCTGAAATAGTTGAGTCGCAACTCAAGTTGCGCTCAACAAACTGCTTTGAATTCATGTAACAAGCACGCTAGCAGCCTCACCCGGCACGTAAGATAGTGGCTGTTTATGTAGAGTCCTACTCGCATCTGTCCTTAACGGTCTTAGGCCAGGTTTTGATCACCTTTTCCGCGACGTACTGTAGGGCGTTCAAGTGACTGAATGCTTTACTTTCGCCGTTGGTTGACGAAGCCGCAGCACCACCAACAGTGCTTCTATTACGCCGATTTTTTTAGTCGGGTGAAGAATTAGTTATCGTTAACTCCTTCTCCCTGCTTGCGTGGTTCTCGAAAGGCTTTTCTAAGGAAGCGTATTCAAGGAAGCTTGCAGCAAGGAAGCGGATATCAAGGACTCTTATTTCAAGGAACCAGCATGGTGTGCGATAAATGTGAGTTACGTCCTTTTGAAGGTCCCTTATCTTCTGAAGCTTCCTCGTCGTCACTAGCATCTCAGCCTGTATGCCTCCCCCCCAGTTAGTCCTTACCTTGAAGCTTGCAAGGGCGCGGAGCCGGCAAGAACGTCGAGCCTTACAACTGCAGGGCTATTGGTAGTTCTATTTTATATGTTTTTAGACATTTCTCCCCATGCTGGCACCCGGCAGGTGCGAAGAAGCTGTCAAAGGTGATTGTGGTGACTTGTGAATCATGAGTCATTCTCAAAAGACAAGTGGAAACCTAGGGGTGGCTTTTAAACTCTCTCTTATGCCATTCCTCCCCATGCGGGCACCTGGCAGGTGCGAAGAAGCTGTCAATGGTGATTGTGCCGGACAAATGGAAGGAGGGTGCGTCCAACACCACTGAGAGCGCCTTTTGAGGTGCCTCAGAAGGGGTTAAACACCACTGAGAGCGGCGGCAGGAAGACAGCTGAATGAAAACGCCATTCTCAGGAATCTTGACATGTCTTTTGAGACGTCTCAAAAGACGCTATTCTCAGGAATCCTGACATGTCTTGAATTTCCCCCCATGCTGGCATCCGGCAGGCCAGAAGAAGCTGTCAAAGGTGATTGTGCCGGACAAGTGGAAGGAGGGGGCGTCCAACACCACTGAGAGTGGTGGCAGGAAGATCAACGAGAACAAGTTGTTGTCTAAGAAGAAAAGGTACACCGCGTTACACTAGAAACTGCAACTCCTTGTTACACTGTCCCTTAAGTTGTTAGACAGCCTTTCAGATGGAGGAGGGCTATCAACACCCCTTTTCTACTCTCATGCACTAAATTCCTCTCTTTTCCCACCATTTCTTTCCCGTCCACCACCTTTCCACCCTTGCCTTCACATACCCGCCTTTTCACTTCATGGGTGTCCCTCGTATGGCCAGGTACACTCCGTATGCATCATCTGCATCCTTTAAGTGCATCATATGCAAGCAGCAGCTGCACCAGGAGGGAAAGTACTGCCACCTATGCTCTTATAAGAAAGGTGCACGTCTGTACCTATGTTATTTCTCAACTACAGTACCACACATTTTTACATTGCTGCATTTATGGGAAAAGCAGCCTCAATTTCAGGCACCTTTGACTTTTCATGTACGCGTGTCAGTCATGGTGCATGTTCTGATAATAAAAAGGTAACTAGTTTTGAGGCGCCTCAAAACTAGGCGCCTCAAAACTATACTGATAGCTGGTCTGTATATGCTCCTTGCTCAAAGGCTTCCCGTTTCCTCCCCACCTTCACCCCCCACCCTCACACCCCCTCCAACCCCCCCGGCCCAGGTGTGTGTGCCATGTGCGGCAAGCAGGTGCTTGATACCTCCATGTATAAGCAATCGGCAGTTTGACTGAACTGCATTAACCTAGGTTTTCTTTTTTTTGCACGTGAAAGGCAGTGTACAGGTCCTGATACAACAGCTTCTTACTACAGTGTACAGTGGAACTTACCGGTATGACACATTCATGGCTCGTTATAAATGATTCCTGCCCAACTAGGCAGATTTGCAACGCCAACAGGCTGAACCACGGACCAATATGAGGTCAAATGAGCAGAATAGCACAGCCAGAAAGGCTCAGTGAAGTGCGTATGCCCACAGAGCAGTGACTGCCAGGAAGAGCACCCCGAATTTGAAATGCCCCAGGCAGTCTCTTGGGATGATACTAAAGTGTCGGGTGAGCGGTACACGCCCACAGCACAGCGACTGAAAGGAAGAGCACCCCAGTGAGGCCAAAGCAGAAGGCCACTATGGCTGCTACAGCCTGGCCTCGGGACTTGAACACATTTTTGGAGGAGAGCGTGGCCAAAGTACAGGGCGCGCTCAATGCATCATGCCCACAGCGCAGTGACTGACAGGAAGAGCACCCCAGCGAGGCCAAAGCAGAAGGCCACTAGGGCTGCTACAGCCTGGCCTCGGGACTTGAACACGCCCGTTGAGGAGGAGAGTGCGGCGATGCCTCTTTCCATGAAGGGAGCGAGCATCAGAGCTCTGCAGGAGAGGGTTGAAGGAGGAATAGGAGGCAAGGGGAGCAGCGAAGGAGAACGATGAAGTGAACATGCCATAGAGGAGAGCGATGAAGTGAACATGCCATAGAGGAGAGCGATGAAGTGAACATGCCATAGAGAAAAGCGATGAAGTGAACATGCCATAGAGGAGAGCGATGAAGTGAACATGCCATAGAGGAGAGCGATGAAGTGAACATGCCATAGAGGAGAGCGATGAAGTGAACATGCCATAGAGGAGAGCGATGAAGTGAACATGCCATAGAGGAGAGCGATGAAGTGAACATGCCATAGAGGAGAGCGATGAAGTGAACATGCCATAGAGGAGAGCGATGAAGTGAACATGCCATAGAGGAGAGCGATGAAGTGAACATGCCATAGAGGAGAGCGATGAAGTGAACATGCCATAGAGGAGAGCGATGAAGTGAACATGCCATAGAGGAGAGCGATGAAGTGAACATGCCATAGAGGAGAGCGATGAAGTGAACATGCCATAGAGGAGAGCGATGAAGTGAACATGCCATAGAGGAGAGCGATGAAGTGAACATGCCATAGAGGAGAGCGATGAAGTGCACATGCCATAGAGGAGAGCGATGAAGTGCACATGCCATAGAGGTGAGCGATGAAGTGCACATGCCATAGAGGAGAGCGATGAAGTGAACATGCCATAGAGGAGAGCGATGAAGTGAACATGCCATAGAGGAGAGCGATGAAGTGCACATGCCATAGAGGAGAGCGATGAAGTGCACATGCCATAGAGGAGAGCGATGAAGTGCACATGCCATAGAGGAGAGTGCAGCGATGGAACTTTCCACAAATGGCCTCTCTCCAACATTCCATTCGATTCACCATAAGCACATTGTGAGACGTCTGCAGATTCGACTTCACTATAACCACAAATTATCCTACGACTTCCCACAAGTGTTTATGATAATGCGATCTGCTCTGCGACTTTTGCTCCCCGCCCGCTCGCACCAGCTTGGTGACCTGACTGGCCGCCCACACCACTGCGAGTCAACGAGACAGCATCTTGATGCATAGCACTCTCAAGCACTACTAAGTGATCAACCTGTTTTCGAGTCGACTCAAAAATAGGCACTACTAAGAAAGTCACCAACTCAGCATCTCATTGCTTACCCGCCTGCTCGCACTAGCTTGGTGACCTGACTGCCGGCCCACACCACTGCAAAGACCTTCAGAAAACTGTGAATGGACGGGGAGGGTGGATTAGGGTTGGGGCAAGAGGGAGAGACGAGAGGAGAGGCAAAGGGGCGAGAGGAGAGGAGAGGCAAGGCAAAGGGGCGAGAGGAGGGCTTGGTGACCTGACTGCCCGCCCACACCACTGCAAAGACCACCGCATCCCACTCTCGATTGTCCCACTCTCGATTGTCCCACTCTCGATTGTCCCACTCTCGATTGTCCCACTCTCGTTTGTCCCACTCTCGTTTGTCCCACTCTCGTTTGTCCCACTCTCGTTTGTCCCACTCTCGATTGTCCCACTCTCGTTTGTCCCACTCTCGTTTGTCCCACTCTCGTTTGTCCCACTCTCGTTTGTCCCACTCTCGATTGTCCCACTCTCGTTTGTCCCACTCTCGTTTGTCCCACTCTCGTTTGTCCCACTCATCCCACGCTCACATGCTTCACCTCGTCCCTCTCACATGAGAGACCCCAGACTTCACCGCTCGCACCAGCTATGTTGGTGTGAAAATTTCAAAAGTCAACCCTCACATGTTCCCGTGCTGTGTTGCTGGTGCTCATATATACAGTCCCTTGCACACTCCCACCATTGGGCCCCGTGTCACCTCACTTCCATGTTGTTTGACTTTTGAGTCGACTCAAAAGTCAACCCATTGGGCCCCGTGTCACCTCACTTCCATGTGGTTTGGAGAGTGTGCGGGGAGTCCCCCAAACCAAACCTCGCACCACCCCTCGCACCACCCCTCGCATGTTCCCGTGCTGTGTCGCTGGTGCTCAAACAAACACACCCTTGCACACTCCTACCATTGGTCCCCTTGCTGCGCACTCTCCCCTCCACAGACTCTTGAGAATTCTCAAAAGGGATTCCCCACCACAGACTCTCACTCCTACAAACTCCTTTGCACGCCCTCCCTCCGGCTCCTCCGCCCTCCACTGCCATGCCACCAGCGCATTCTCCCCACCAGCCCACCTCATCCCACTCTCGCAAGAAACAGATGGCAGTAGCGCAGGGCACTCGCTTCTTTGCTGCTGCTGCTAGGCCCAGGCCTCGCGGGGATGGGGCCACGTAGAGAAATACTTAGTGGGGCAAACACTTTCCTGTGCTGTTTCCGGTCCTCACCTGTTGTTCGGCTGCTAGGCAGGCCACAAGTCACCTGGGTGGGCAACAGGGCACTCACTTCTTTGCTGCTGCTGCTAAGCCCAGGCCTCGAGGGGACGGGGCCACGTAGAGACTGCACACATGCACATGCGAGGAAGCAGAAAGAGAGAAAGTGAGGTGTGCAGGTGAGGAGCGGTAGGAAGGAGTGAGAGGAGTGAGAGAGGTGAGCGAGGCAAAGAGGAAATAGATAGCAAAATGGTAGAAGGCGAAAAAGAAACTCCACATGAGATCTGGGATTAATTTTAATATGAGATGCCACATGTTTGACTTACAACACGAAGAGGAAGGCGAAGATGTAGTAGACTGTATTGAAGAGGCCATAAGAGAGTACACCTGCTACCCCAAACGACTGCAGCTTTCCCAGCAACCTGGGGACCGTTGATTGGCGGAGCAAGAAGAGAAGGCAAAATGGACGATCAGGATTGAGGGTCACGAATAAAACTTCTTCATTTGGTGAAAATTTGACAATAACGAGGATGACAATACTGAGAATGAAGTGTTCCAAAATAGCTTCAGAATTTCTCATCTCTCAAGGTCGTGAAGGTTCCACGAAGCTTCTCACCAGGCGCGAACTCACTCGGCCGTCTTCGCCTTGTTACGCTGCAGCATCTCCCCGACCGGCCCTAGAAACGAAGCTTCCGGGCTGCTTCCGACCGACGGAGAAGATGCTGCATGTGCAGAGGAGGCAGTAGCTTTCTTGTTGCTTCCTCTGTTGCCGTCACTCCTAGCACCGCTGTTGCCATTGGTAGTGTCTCCACCACTATAGTCACTACTAGCGCCGTTATTATCACCGTGACTACTCGCCAAAACGGCTGTTTTCTGCCGGGTCATCAAACGCTCGCCGCTAGCAGCGACGCTGCGGTTCCACACGCAAGTTCTCGTCAATGCGGCTGTTCGCCGAGAACTCTGTGCATGCGTGTACGCCGGTTTAAAGCCTGCGAATTCAGGCGACAATATTGCGGGTTCGCTGTCGCAGCGAACCGCAGCCAGCGGTCGCGACGTTCGGCGAGGTATGTGCGCAACGCATGGCGTCGCTGAAATCGACTGCCGCAAAACCGCGTCCATGGCGGAAAGCCGTTGAGTCGTTGACTCGTTAGACACGTTGACTCTTGTACAGCAGCTGAGACGTGGCAGAACCCAAAAGGCGTTCTCACCGCCGTGAAACATGGAAAGAGACTTACTGGGTGGAATGCCAGCGATTTGTACGCGATTACGTTGGGCGTGGACGCTGTACATTTACACCGTACATATTGATACTTATAAGAGCACACAACTTTGAGTGGTTAAAGTACCACTAAATACTTAACTCTTGTAATTCATGACTTTGTACGATGGTGGTGTAACAACATTATGACTTTTTACATATAAACATACAGTATACGCATTAGGATTTCGATTCAGCATTTCCGTTAACATCATTTCAAGCAAAGACCGGCTTTAGGTAAAATATTGAGGCATTTGCAATAAACATCCAGTATCTACAGCTTGTTTCTCTTCCGTGCGCCCAGAGCCAAAGCCACACCCACCGCCACAAACCCTACAGGAACAATCAGCTGCCAGTACCTGCTTATCCCCCCAGAACCCCCAGCACCATCACTAGCACCACCACGCGCAGCACTCCCAGGCGATCTACCAGATAAACCATTCGAAACGCTGAGAGGCTCGCGGGCATTTCGAGATGAACCTGCTCCGGTGCCGTCTCTGCTGGCACTGGGAGTGGCAGCATTGTGTGGAGATGGTTGCAGCAGGTGCTGCTGCTGATGCGCTTCCTGATCCCTCTTCAGCACGTACTTGCTGCATATCTCACACCTGTCCGTACGGCTGCCACACACATCCTGAGGGCGAGCAAGGGGGTTCACGCAAGAGAGAAGACACACAGAGGCAACAGGTAGGTTGCAAAAGGGATTTTTTTTCGCGGCACCTCAATAAATGCATCCACATCCACTCACAAAGCGATGAAGGAGGTAACTTTTGGATGGAATCTAAAGACATCTCCTTGCAGCGCGAGAAACGGATGAATTTGACTCTGCAGGCATCTCCTTACAGTGTGGGATTGGAGGTCCATGGCGGTGACAGGGAGGTCGCAGAAGGCGCAGATCAGGGAGCGCAGGGGGCAGGCTGATGCCTCATGCTCTGGCAGGAGCCGACGCTCCATGGGCTCTCCACACAGCGAGCAGGGCGCCTGAGGACGGAGAGGTGGTGGGGGAGGTGGGAGGAAGGGGGAAGATGGGTCAAGATAACGATGGGTGCATGGGTGCAGTCACCACCATCTCATTGCAACTGTCACATCGAACCCAGAATGGTGTTACTTAGAGGAGCGTGCATGGCTGCCACATGTTGGTTCATGGCTGCAGTTGCCATCATCTCATTGCACCCGTTGACTGGAACACAACGTGTCACTACTCACTGGGTTGTGCAAACAACCAAGTGCATGATCACTCACTGGGCCGAGCAAACAACCAAAGCGCGTGCGATGATCACTCACGGGAGCATGCACGGCTGCCACATGTTGGTGCATGGCTGCAGCCGCCACCATCTCCTTGCACCCGTCGACTGGAACAGAAAGTCCCAACACTCACTGGGCCGAGCAAACAACCAAAGCGCATGTGATGATCACTCATTGGAGCATGCCACTACTCACTGGGTTGTGCAAACAACCAAAGCGCATGCGATGATCACTCACTGGAGCGTGCACGGCTGCCACGTGCTGGTCCATGCCGGCAGTCGCCACCATCTCGTCGCAGCCATCGCAGCGCACGCGTCCACTAGAACACAACGTGTCGCCATTCACTGGCTTGTGCAAACAATCTAGTGTGCACGAGAGAACTCACCGGAGCATGCACGGCTGCCATGTGTTGGTCCATGGCAGCTGTCGCCACCATCTCGTCGCAGCCATCGCAGCGCACGAGGCGCGTCTCGCAGTGCGCGGTGTGCAGCGGTAAGTTGGCCACGGGGATGGGGCGAGCGCTGAGGTGGGAAGAACGGGAAGTGGGGCATGCGAAAAAGGGGGAAAGCGGGAAAGGGGGTGGGGGGGGGGGGGGGGGGGGGGGGGGAGGAAGGAAGGACACGTGAGCCTCACAGTGCGCGGCGTGCAGCGGTAGGTTGGCCACGGGGATGGGGCGAGCGCTGAGGTGGGAAGAATGGGAAGTGGGGAAAGCGGGAAAGCGGGAAAAGGGGATCACGACAGACATGAAGAGCAGGCGCGTCTCGCAGTGCGCGGCGTGCAGCGGTAGGTTGGCCACGGGGATGGGACGAGCGCTGCGAGGGAAATGTGGATGGAACGCGATGGAATGCAACGACACGGACGACAACATGATACGTACAGACGACACGGATGATACACGGAAGACACGTAGGACGGCGCGGGTGAACCAGATGCATAGCCAATTCGTAAAACGGCATAGAACCAGTCTGTAAAGTAGGTCGTACCAGTTTTCGCAGATCTCGAATTCTGCGGCAGCCATGGCTTCGACAGAGAACGGCAATCAATGTCTCGCCGAAACGGTACGATGATGCCGAAAAAGTGTTGCCGTAATTGCGCGCACCTATTTTCAACCGCCGGGCTAAGCTAACCCAGTCGAAGGAAAACGAGAAGGAACCTTCCTAAACGGTTACATAGCCGTTCTCTGTGATGCTCTTAAAAGCTTTGCGAAGTCTCAAAAGGGGTTAAAAGCTTTAAGACGTCTCAATGCTTCACGGGAACGAAGAAAACCGCTACGTGGCCTTCTGTCCGTGAGCCGTCCGTGTGTGTGTGACGCGTTCGAAGTCAGAAGAGCTGCAGCGGAGCGCGAGGCGCGTAAGACTGACATCAGTGAGCCTCAGCGCAATCCCACTCAGAAACTAAGGACGCGGCACCTGTTTGCTTTTTGCAGGATCGATCGCAGGATCGCTGATTTCACCGCACTCAAATCTTCTGAAAGCATTTAAAACTCTCAAAAATGTTCTTAACTCCGCAAAAATTCGACCCTGCGCAGGATCGATCGCAGGATCGGTAAAACAGGTGCCGCGTCCTAAAAGCCTGAAGCCAGCCACGGGAGTGGGAGGGATGGATGCGAGGCGACGGGAAAAAGCTTCGCGAAAGTCAGCTGGTAACATTTACTGATAGCAGTAACTTGACAGAGAGAAAATTCTATGATACTGTTGCCCCAACCAACCAGTGAGCATGCATCGTAGCACCACCTTTTCAGCCAGCTATTTTCTTCAGGAGATGTGTTACTATTGTTCCTCATTGCAGCTCCTTCCTCCACACTTTCAAAATGTCCCAAGCAGATGGCTCTTCCACCCGATCCCTCTCCCCTCTTTGCCATCCCTCTCCCACCCTCTCTCCCCTCTCCCCAATCAAACCCCCTCCAGAGTCATTCAATTCCAGCTCATCGAACTCCACCTTCACACCTGCTGCCTCGGCCCGAGCCAGAACCTCCCGAGCCTCAGCTCCCATTCCGAGCCTGATGATCCGGTGCAGCAGGCTGGTGTATATGCCGGCGTCTGCCACCCATCCCTCCCTCTCCATCCGGTCGACCAATCGCATCGCGATTTGAACCTCCTCCCTCTTCCCCCCTATAAGCAGCCCCCTTACAAGGTCGGCAAGCACACCAGGGTCTACCGCAGGGGAGGATGCTGGGTATGCTTCAGTGATAACATCAGATGCTGCAGATGCATCAGCAGCGCCAGTGGCACCAGGGTCACCAGCAGCAACAGCGGCACCAGCGGCACCAACAGCACCACCTGCGTCGGAACCACTTGCTGCAGTGTCTGCTGCTGTTCGCGCATCTGCTCCCCTCTTTGGTCCTCCTTGTGTCCCTGCTGACTCAACGCCTAATAACTCATCACAACCTGACTCAACACCTGCAGAATCCGCACCTGCCACCGCCCAAGATATGCCTTCCCCACTCACCACCTCCCCCTCAACCACCCTCTCGTCCAACCTCCCCTCCAAAGCCCGCCCCTCCAAAGCCCGCCCCTCCACAGCCCTCCCCCACGCGTCCATCACTCCCACAGTCTCCTCCACCTCTACCCCAGTCAGTCCCCCGCCCACCGACGCCACCGCATAACGCCAAGCAAAGCCGTCCAGAGGCGCATGGGACTCAAGCAGCTCCCGCACCCTCAGCAGGACTGGGCTCAGCTCACCACTGCTGCTGTCGTTGCCAGGGGTGCTGCTGGCCTGGGTGCTGCTGGCCTGGGCGCTGCTGCTGCCGTCTGTGCTCGTGCTCGTGTTGTCAGTGGCGCTGGTGCTGCTGGGAATGTCAGCACTGCTGCTGCTCCTGCTGCGGCTGCTGCTGTCTTCACTGCTGCCGTCTGAAATCCCCTGTCCACTCGACCCAACTCCTCTGCTGCTCGCACCAGTCAGTGCCGACAGCAACTCAAGCTGCTGCCGTGCAGCTACCTTCCTCTGCTCCTCCCCACCCATGCTCCCATCCACCCCAGGAGAACTCTCCTCCTGCCCCACACTACCATAATCCTGACCCGACAGCCCTGCTCTGTCACGACTTGACTCGCGACTGCTGCCAAGGATACCGCTGCTAACGCGGCTGGATTCCTGGCTGCTGCTCCCAGCGCCAGAATCCCCAGCAGCTGTCACTCCCTCGCGCTCCACAGCACCCCTACTTTGGCTCTCTGCGGGTGTGTGCGACTGTGAGCCCCCTCGCATGGCAATCAGCAGCTCATCGGCTATGGCTGCCTGCTTGCCCTTGAGCAGAGCATCAACCACCCACCCGTGCTGCCGCACGTGCAGCGCCCACCCCTGCCGCTGCATGTCTCGTGCTACCTGCCTCACGGCCTGCCACTGCCGGCACCGCACGCACGCGCCCAGCATGGCAGAGAACGTGTGGCTGTTGGGCACTAGAGGGGGATCCTCCCGCCTCCTGCCCATCCACACCTTCTCACCCTCATCGCCTTCGTCGTCCGCGTCCCTCTCGTTTTCCCCACTCTCCTCCCTGTTTTGCTCCTCCTTCTGCCCATCCTTGCTAATCTGCCCAACGCTCGTCATCGCCTCCCCAACAGCCTCCACTTCGTCCTCCTCCTCCTCCTCTTCCTCTTCCTCCTCTCGTGCTCTCCCCTCACTCTCCTCTTCCCCTACTTCCCCAGCCCTAACCACATCTGTTCCCACCCCTACTCCTCCCTCTCTTTGCAGTTTCCCTTCTCGTATCAGCCTCCTCCTGCTCCTGCTATTAGCCACCAACCGCTGCATCCTTGCCTCCTGCCTCTCCTCTTTGCTCATCCACCTCTTCCTGCCCGTGATTATAGGCCTCCCGCCCGACCGGGCAGCGGCGTAAATTTCCTCCGCTGCAGCAAACCTGCCCGTGCGGGCAAAGACAGTGATCATGATGTTGCAGGTGGTGATGTTGGGGGTGCAACCCCGCACCTGCATCTCCCGGAAAACCCGGGCCGCGTCGTCCAATCGACTGCTTCGCTCGCATGCGCGAATCAGCCCTGTCCACGTCACCACTGGCGGCTGCGCATCCTCTGCCCGAGAAATCTTCTCCACCTGCCCAGATTACCCAGACGATTTAAATTAGGGTGGAAACGGTAGATGGACATTGCACTAATACATCAGGCTCTAATACACCAGGCAGGCTGCACGTTGCCCTTCAACCCCTGAGCCTATCCAACTGCGAGTCCCACTGGCTGCATTGCATCAACAAACGTCTAAATAAACTCACCAGGGCAACAGCGTCCTGCCAGCGTCCAACGGAGCAGAGCGCGCATGCAAGGGAGTGAAACACCCCTGCGTTGCCCTCCATTCCTCGCTCCTGCATCTCCCTCACTGCCGCCTCTGCCTCCTCCACCCTTCCTGCTGCAGCCAGTGCTCGCACCAGGTCTGTTATGGGAGGGACGGAGGAAGAGAGGAGCAGAAAGGAGAGGTTCTCAGGTGTCCCCATCACCAGGTGTGAGAGGCAGCCTCAATGCATCTCCATAACTGCTGCTGCCAGCACCAAAGGTATGCTTCAACTCACCACAGAATTTTGGTAGTAAGTCTGAATATTACCGCGATCGGTCTAGATCATAATCCAGACGATTACCTCGGTAGGTTTGGACGGTGGGGGGGAAGCCAGCAGCCTCCATATCGGCCAGCACCTGCAGCGCGAGGTGCGTTTGGCTGCACAGCGACAGGGCTTGGATGGCCAGCCCAAAGGTGGCCGCGTCGGGAGCGACCCCCTCGCTACGCATCTGCTGCAGCACCCACTGCACGCCCTTCCACTGCCGCTTGGCGCCACAGGCATTCAGGAGCTGATGGGATGCGGGGAGGGGAGAGGAGTGGGGATGGGGGGAGGGGAGAGGATTGGGGATGGGGGGAGGGGAGAGGATTGGGGATGGGGGGAGGGGAGAGGAGTGGGGATGGGGGGAGGGGAGAGGAGTGGGGATGGGGAAAGCGGAGAGAATGTGCGTTGGTTCATTCAGCCATGCACAGACATGCGCGGGTTGAGGAGGACGCATAGGCTTTTGAGCCTTAGAGCTTCAGACATCTAGAGACAACCAGAAGGGCAGCACTCACAGCGTTGTACACAACCACATCTGGAGCCAGCCAGCTGCTGCTGCCCGCTGCACCCGAGTTGGAGATATTTCTGCTCGTGCTGCTCGTGTTGCTCGTCCCACTGACAGCACCAGTACCAGCACCCGCGCCAGCGCCAGAGTCAGCGCCAACGCCTCTGCCATCTGTTTCGAGCGGCGCAGTGCGGTTGGTGCGGGTTGGACCTTCCCTTAGCTCCTGCATCAGCTGCTCTGCTCCTCACATGGGGGGGTGAGGAGGGAAGAGAGGGACCAGCAGCCACGGGTCAAGGTAAGGGCTTCAGCTGTGCTTGGAACGTGAGGAGGAGAGGAGAGGAGGGAAGGACCAAGAAGAAGTGAACGGTGGAAAGTGAAGTATGACGGTACTGATTTGAACTGATCACGGCTAGAGGTTTTAAGAGACTGGCATCTTCGTTCCCCAAGCCCACCCTCTCCCCGCCCATCCTCCCCACCCACCTGCAGCAGCTCCTGCAGATACCCCGCCCTTCCCAGCGCCACCGCTGCTGCTCTGTACGCTGGGAGGTCAGGCCACGTGGCGGGCTGCGACTGGTGGAGAGCAGGGAGGGAGAGGAGGGAGTGGGCGACACAGCATAGAGCGTAGGAAACAAAACAGGAAAAAAACAGGTGAAAAAAAAAAGAACGAAAAAAAAAGGAAGAAAAACAGGAAACGAGAAAAAATAAAAAACAAAACAAAAACAAAAACAAACAAACAAACAAACAAACAAAGAAAAACAGGAAACAGGAAACGAAAAACAGGTGTGTCAAGGAGGGGAGGGCGAAATGGAGAGTAAGAGAGTGTTAGACGGACAGAGCGATGGAACGATGCACAGCCTGCAAGCACGTACCAGCATCAATCGCGTGTTTTGCAGCACAACACAGCAGCGAACAACAAGAGCAGCACCGCACAGAGCCCCAAAGCATTGCATATCACCGCACAGCACTTACCATCATGAGTCGCATGGCCTGCAGCACGGCATCAGGGTAGCGCCAGCCCAGCGCAGCGATGAGCGACGTCAGCACCTTCCTGCAGCGGGGAGGGCAGGAACGCGGGGGAGAGAGCGGACAGGAGAACAGGGAGGTGATCAAGAGCCAAGAACGAAAAGGCAAAGAATAAACGAGATGCCGGGAGAAGGGAGGGGAGGCGATGGGGGGAAGGGGTTGAACAGGAATGGGCAATAAAGGCATGACCAGAGAAGGCATGGCGGGGGGAGGCATGGAAGGGAAACCGGAAACTGAGGCAACCTGTCAGTTTGACAGGTACCTCCGGGATCAGTCTGACCTGTCAATACGTGATTGGTCGCGGCGAGCGGCCCAGTGCACGAGCAGCAGCGCCCTGCGCCAGCTGCCTCTGCTGGCGAGCAGCCGCGCTGCCAGCGTCACACGGCGGGGGGAGAGGCGCACCCCCGCGCTGCGCACTGCCCTGGACACGTGGCGCGGGGAGGCAGTCAGGGGAGTGCTTTCCAGCCTGGCATAGGGGGTGGGGGGGTTAGTGGGGTTGGGGAGGAAAGGGAGAGATAGGGAAGGAGGGTGGGGGGACGAGAAGCGGGGAACGGGGGAGAGAAATTGGAAAGTATTAGTGAGAGGAAAATCCTGGCGTCCTCACTCCTGACATGACACCCTCCTTCCTCATACCTGACACCCCCACTCCACTGCTGGCGTCCTCATCCCTGGCTGTGCCTCACCTCTCCACCAGTCGCTGCAGCATTCGCTCTTCGCTGACCCCTGGGCCCTCCCTCGCCTCCCCCTCCGCGTCGATCGCCTCCGTGTCATACGCATCGTCAGTATTCCAGTCAGTGTAGTCCACGTCCCGATACTTTGTCCAACCGATTTGCCTCGAAACCTGATGTGTAAAGTGCAAGCCGGCAATGGCAAGTGAGAAGGCAGCTACGCGCTTGAACATGATCAAACAATGGCATGCATAACAAATGGTACACGAAGGGTTTGAAGAGTTCACGGTTTACAGATAACGTGGCATAAATAGTTCGACTCACTCCTTTCGCAGGTTTTGCACAGCATCTTCCTCGAAACCCCTTAATCTGACCCCGCTGCGCGTTAAAACCAGTTCGATCTCCTCGGGCCGTTATCACTCGATCACTCCACGCGAGGCCGCTCTTCTCTTTTCGCAAAGTTCCAACCGCAGAATTGGCCTTCACGCGGGCGAGTATAAATCGACACGTCACATCGGGACTCTTCTGAATACTTGCAGAATTTCTGATGGTAGGACCTGCTGCTCTTGTTAACTCAGAGCATTCAGATGATAGACGATGAAGAGTGCTGCAAGCACTCGGTTTCTGCGGAGTGCTACAAAGAGGGATCATGTCGAGACGCGCAGCAGCAGAAGAAACCAATAGCCTCCAAAAAGCTGCTTTCAGCCGTTTTACCGGCGTGATCAGGAAGCGTATTTAGCTGAGATTTTTCAGAAATGGTTTGTTATGCCCTGCCTGTTGTAAGGGTTGGTTTTTTCCCTCAAAACCGTACCCAACAATTTCTGCTGAACTCATGATTGATTGAGATGGGAGCACCATGAACAAGGAGCTGCACACGTGGTCAAATCTGAAAGCTCAATCAACAAGAGGTTCTAGCTGGTACGATGCGTTACATTGCGTTTCTGTGTGCTATGCTACGGTACTCGGTTCTTCTTACTGGTTGGTCCAAAATTGCTGTGACGAAGTTGCGTACCGTCCTAGCCTCCGCTGTGGTTGGGGGGGCTCACAGATTTTTGGTCTGGTTTCGGCAGCGGGAACATTCGGGGCATGTGACCCCTGCTGACCTGTCGTCGGGTGCTCCAATCGGGCCCAGCCTTGGCGGCAGGTTGAGGGTTTCAGGCATGTGGGTGACTGAGCGACACGCAGATCTGCCACAAATCAAGGCGTTTACACGGCGAATAGACCTCCGCCAAAACGCGCCGCGAGTCCTCCCTTTTAGATTGGCGGAAGCCAGATTTCTCCCCTGATGCGCTGGCAGACAGGCCAGGTGGCACTGGCTGAATTTGACTCGGCTGAAGCTGCTAAAGTAGGAGATATCGAAGGCGCCGAAGCACTTTCCCGAACCAGAAGTGGCTCGAAAACGGAGACGAACCTGGCCCAGTTCATGTCGCGCCTCGCGTTATTCCCAAAGGCTGTCATTCTGGGTGCGTAAAAGCTCTGCTCGAGCCTGCTTTCAGCCTCATTTTGCAACTCGTTTCTAGCCACCGAATTCTGTCCATCCAACTTCTAGAGACCCCTCCACCCCGCCAGTGCAGCTTTCTGAATCTCATTCACTTTTTGCATCTGGCATTTGCCGCCAGAAGACAAGCCAGCCGCCACTCACCAACCTCGAGTTCCCAGAACAGGCCTGTTGTTCAGCCAAGCACGCAAGCACAAATCTGACCTCTCTGCCTCCCTTCAACCTCCCACTCTGCTTCCGTCGGACTGTTTTTGTTTAATTTTGGGAAACTTGCTGCATCGTTAGTTTCTCGTCGCGTCGTCCAACAAGCGTTTTCACGCACCTGTTTCCTAGATCTGACCACTTGTTCTTCCTATTATGGAGGCTCTTCACTCTTGTCCCACGGCGTCAGGCGTCTCGTCGCTAAGCCTGACACAATCATGCGGCACCTCCAGACTATTCTCCTCGAACTCCACGCAACCACTCCGGCTCACGCCGAAAGTTCCCGTCGTCGTTTCTTCCTCCGCGAAGCGATATTCCGGAACGTCAGATTCGTCGAACCGTGGTCGTGCACAGAGCATCCGAGCGAATGGCATCGGTTCGAACAGCTCTAACCCACCAGCGTGCGAGTTCGGCCCGTGGGATCCGCGAATCGGCGCGTCAGCCGTTCCCGACCCCTCCGTCTCTTTCGTCGAAGAATCCTTCGAGGCTGACCTGGAGGAATCGTCGGAGTCGGATAACAGCAGGGCTGACGATCTCGTTAATGGAGCTCTGTCATCGTCAGTCAACGCAGGGGACCATGTGGCCGTCGAGTACCTGTCGGACGTGGAGGAAGTGGACGACGGAAGCGCGACGGCGACGGATATGACAGAAATGGAGGATGCGGGCGTGGGGAGCTGGGAGCACCGGATGAAAGCCATGGAGAGCTTGGCGGAGGGCCTTATGCCGCCGTGGGAGCAGGAGGGTCTGATGAAGGACGTCTCGGGGTTGAGTGTTGACGCGCTGGTATCTGCTGATGCGGTGTACAACAAAGAGCTAAGGTGCGCGCTCGCTGCCAGTAGGCTTCGTGACGAATAAGCAGTGTCCCGCTGTGCGCTCTCTTCCGTCGTCTTATAAAGTTGACAAGATTCCGATAGTCGGTCTTGGGTGTGTCATGTCTGTCGCTTTTGTCCCTCTGACCCTCTGTCCCTTCTCTGGTTGCATCGCTGTCCGCTGTCCCGCAGCTGGTTGGCGTTCAACTGGCGCGTGCTCTACCAGGCGCTGGACAAGCGCACGCCGCTCATGGAGGTAATACTACTTTGTTCCCCTTCTTCTCGCTTTCGCGCCAGCTAGGCTAGGTTGGCTTTAGCGCTAAGCTGCCGTTTTCACGGCACTCGGACCGCATTCGGTCTGCCTCCCTGGCTGCTTTCCCATTTGTTTGCTTCTCGTCGGTTTTCCATCCCCAGCGCGGTCGATCTGTGCCCATCGCAGCACTCTTTCTGAACGAGTTTAACCGCTATATTATTTATATCCGCTGTTTCGTATCTTATCCTTTCCTAGCTCTATCTATTTCCTTCCACAATCGCGTCTTTCGCCAGCGCCTTCGATTCCTGGCGATCACGGCGCGCAATCTGGACGAGTTCTTCTGCAAGCGCGTGGGCGCGTTGAAGCGGCAGCAGGCGGCGGGCATGGCGAACCTCATCGGCCACCGCAGCAGCTGGCTCTGGACGCCCAGTCAGTCGCTCAAAATCGTCGCCAGGTGAGAATGAGAAGCGCGCTAAGTTTTTGCCAGCAAAGAAATGCATTGCGGTTTCCCAACAGGCCGAGTTGCTTTAGATTCGGCGGCCGCCTCAGTAGCTGGCTCTGGACGCCCGACAAGTCGCACGAATTCGCCAAATGAGAAGCGCGCGAAACACTCAAGATTGTTACCTTGTGCTCCACTTAATGCGCGTGGCGGAAGAAATCGAACGCGGTGGCGGCTGGGTGCGCAGCACATCCCAATGTAGAACATAGGTCACACGAATGGTTCTGCGCAAGTGCCCAACCTCACACGTTCTGCCATTCTAATCTCAAGCGTTCAACGCCGATGGCTAGCATTCAGGTGAAGTTGACATTGAAAGGGCCGAGCGACCAGGGACCAAGTTGCATTTTGCGTGATTTGTAATTGAATGGTTCGCGGTTTGTGGATTTGCCCTGAACTCTCCTCTGCTTCTCGTGTGCTGGGGTTGTGTTTCATTGGCTGGTGTGGTGTGGTGCGTGGCGTGCTTGGTGGGACGCAGGGAGGTGGAGCAGTTTGTGCAAATGCAGCTGCAGTGCCTGCAGCAGGACCTGCTGCCGTCGCTGCGCAAGCACGGCATCAGCCTCGTGCATTGGGACGAGCTCGACCCGCCCGCCAAGGAAAAGGTGAGCCAGGCAGGCCCATCAAAATCCTGAATCATTTGTTTATCGCCCACCCGCCCTGTCCGCGCCTCCCCCCTGTTCACTTCCCTCTGCCGCCTCGAATTGCCTGTTTTCTTCTCGATGCGTACCTGTCATCAGCTGCGTTGCTGAAGCCCATCATCACCCCTGCCATCTCACTTTTCCCTTTCTCTCCCTCTGCCCTCTGTGTCCCTTGATTTCCTCTCTCTTGCTTCTCTTTCCCCCCATCAGCTGCGAGCATACTACAGGGCGTGGCTGGAGCCCATCATCACACCGTTGGCAGTGGATCCCGGCCATCCCTTCCCCTTCATCGGCAACATGTCCCTCGGCATTGCTGTGGTATGTGCACTCCCCTTCATTCCACCATGGCACTTGATATTTTTTTAGTCACCTCAGAAGTCACCCGGGCCATCCCTTCCCCTTCATCAGCAACATGGCCCTCGGCATTGCTGTGGTACGCCTTTCAATTAATTTCTCCTAACCTTCCCCCCTTGCCCAAGTGCTTATCCCGTGTGCCTCTCCACTCAACCCCCTCCCCTCCACTCAACCCCCTCCCCTCCACTCACCCCCCTCCCCTCCACTCAACCCCCTCCCCCCACTCAACCCCCTCCCCTTCACTCCCCCCCCCCCCCCCCCCCCCCACCCTGCTCCTCCGCTCAACTTTTCCCCTCCACTCAACGTTTCAACCCGGGTCCCATCCAATCGGTTATCGGCAGGCGCTGAGGGACCCAGTGGACGACGACCACGAGTTTGCCATTGTGTCGGTGCCCAACACGTGCAATCGCTGGCACCCGCTTGTTCGCCCCAACGAAGAGTGAGTCCCTCTGCCTGCTGTGTTGTGCCGCCTGCTGTTGATTCGCCTGCTGTTGCTTTTGCCTGCTGTGTCATTCCCAGATGAAGTGAGATGAGTTTCAAGGCTCCTCGAGAATCTTCCTGAGCGAATAGTCAGTACCTGCTGGCTTCATCATTCTCTTTCTCCTCCTGTATGTGCATGTGCGTGTTTGCATGTGCGTGTGTGCATGTGCGTGCGTGCAGCGGCAGCAACGAGGAGCGCAACACGTTTATCTCAGTGGAGGAGATCATCAAGGCCAACCTCTCGTCGCTGTTTGGCGGCATGGAGGTGAGTGAGAGGACAACGCAACGCACTGCAGTGCTCGTAGTGTTTTGCACGTTCACTCTCAACCCCAAACCCTGGTCAAATGGGATCCCCATTTTTTTAGCTGAGACAATTCAGGGAGATTATGTTGGCGTGCATGATGCGTCACAGGCACGCGGAATGCCAAATCAGTTGTTCCCTTTTCCCAAAATACCCAACCCCTGGTCCCGTTGTCCCTCCGCAGATCACGTCAGCCCACTTCTTCCGAGTCACACGAAACGCTGACGTGGAGCGCAACGAGGACGAAGCAGAAGACTTGCTCGAGATGATCACGGACGAGATGCGCGAGCGCAAGTTCGCCCCCTTTGTGCGCCTCGAG